CACCCCGGCTGCGCCATTCGTTTCGCGGAGGGGTCGCTCGCTTGGTTTTGGTAGGTCGTCAGACAGTTTCATTCAATTCGACTCGCGTAGCGCTTAGGCTTGGAACATCGAGGCAGGCTTTCCCCGGCCTAGACAATGTGGGGCGGAGTGTTCTCAGAAGCCGTGGAGTGACCACTGGCTTGTGGTTTTTGGTGGAGAGCCAGCAGTGGGACGCCTTTGCTCAGGAGGGAATTGGGTTTGGTAGGTCTGAAGCCCCTTGTCGTGAGGAGGGTCATTCATTGGCTTTGGTAGGTCTTCAGCCGGCTTGTGCTTGCTGCCGCTTTTTTTGTGAGAGTGTTTGTGTGACTGAGACAGAGAGAGACTCTTGGTGTTAGTGCGAGCGGCTTCTTTGGTTCCGTAGATCTTCCGTAGACTCCGCAGAACCTTATATGTGTAACTTTTCCTACTTACAGAAACGACCAAAAAGGTCCCGGGATTTGAGACCATAACATCCAAACTGAAGTGTGAGGCTAACGTCGATAGCAATAAAGCACATCCACGCGCAAATTGAAATTGCAACTATGGCTACTTTTATCTGCAGTAGTGTCTGATGTATTGCTACTTACTTATACTAGATACGAAACAAGAAAACACTCACATTGATTTTGACATTACCTTCATCTCTTTCTAATGCCTACCCGCGGAGAACAACAACGGCAGGAGTATAACGCCGATCGGGATGCGTGGAAGCAGATCAAGTACTTTGTATGATGCCACACATTGAGAGCGAAGATATGGCGGAAATGTCGTTCCACCTAGGTGGTAAGAAGGGCCTAGTATTAGTAAATGAGGGGAGCGACATAGACATTCCCTTGTTATCGACATTCTCCATGAGTGGAAGCATTCATATTTCCATAAAGACGACGAAACGTCAGCTGGCCTGATCTTCAAACTAGCATGTGGCGAATGGCTAGTACTGGAGTTGACGAGTGACGGCTTTCAGTGGTGGCACAGACAAGTCATGGATTCCAAAAGAATACCTGGTTTGAACTTATGGGGTTGAACTTCAAGGTTTCAAACTATATGAGATTGTGGTTTTGAATTTGAACTCTTGAACTTTTCAAACTATAATGACGATGACACAGACTACGAATATGAATTAGAATCGATCAGAAAATCAAGGAGGTTGTTCTTGTTGTTCAACGGTGCCCATAGAGGTAAAGCTAAAAAAGATGTGTAGTTTCCTCGTCACCTTCATAAGCGGTCCTTTCATCGTGAAACATCAATCAAGATCAATGACCGGCTAGTATTAGACCCACAGATGGCGGGAATCACTATTCTACTCGAAAACTGAAAATAGCCGAGTAAGTGACTGAAATAAGGGAGGTAGGTAGGTTTGACAGGGCTACTCTTCCTTGTTCAGGCTTATATGTGCTTACTTCAAGTAGTTACTCGGTTATTTATTCAGTTTTTCGATTATCACTCATAAACTTACCTCCTCGTCTAAGCAAAAGGATAAAAACTTCGGAAACCTGGAGACATCCAGTGCCGATACATTTCATCCGAAAACTTATCGTGGACCAGAAGGAGCGGTGCTATGAACGAGGTACTTAAGCAGGACAATTGTTTTTACAGCCATAGAAGAATTCGAACAACTCGATGCTTGCAGTTTGTAATTCGTACCTCCTTCTCATTCTGGTGTCCACGAGGACATCTAGAAGATCATCGACTATAGGAAGCTGTACATCGCTGAACTACATACTTGTTGCATATTTGCACCAGACCATTTCTGGCATTCGCATTGCTTAGGGTCTTACTCTTAAGTACGTAGTAACAAAAAACCTGAAGCTGAACATGTCTACAACGACAACACGCCCACAACTACAAGTCTTCATCAACATCATGTCTACAACACCAGGTTCTCTCTTCAATTTCTCGGAGTTTGCGACCACTATCTTCCGAAAAATTTTGGAGAGGCATCAAGAAGAACAGGCCTCGGAGCTTCACAAGCAAGGCATCGATTTGACCTTGGTCACAGATGAACAAATTACGATGTACGACTAGCTTGTCTACATATGTTGCTATCATGATTCCAATTTTATCCACATCTACCTCGTTGTAGTTGTACTAGTGTTGAGGGTGAAGAAGATCATAGGCAGAAGACCTGACTCTACTGTACTTTCTTAGCAGGGCCACTAGCTGTAGTTGGTCTTGGTGCATCGCATCAAATAAGGGTGCTGGATGGAATTCATTGGATAGCCACAGAGACTAAATACTCTATTTAAATACTATTAAAAATCCCCGAACACTCTTCGCCTTTAATGTGAACACTAAAGGACCCCTAAGACGCCTTTAATGTGAATGCTAAAGGACTCCCCTCCCCTTTAATATTAATGTGAACACTGGAGGACCCTTAGAGCGCCTTTACTGTAAACACTAGAGGACTCTTAGGGCGCCTTTAGTGTAAACATTAAAGGACCCCTAAGGCGCCTTTAAAGTACACGCTGAAGGCCTTCCATGTGGGCAGCAGATGGCCTTGAGGAAGAACAAGAACAGCAACAACAGCAAAAACAACAAGAACAACAACAGCAAGAACAACAAGAACAACAAGAACAAGAACAACAGCAAGAACAACAACAGCAAGGACAACAAGAACAAGAACAACAGCAAGAACAACAACAGCAAGAACAACAACAGCAAGAACAACAACAGCAAGAACAACAACAGGGCAGCCACGAGAATAAGAAAACTCTAGAGGTGTTTAGCGTTTAAAACGCAGCAGACTCCACCTCGTTCCTCTATGTTGTATATAACAGGGAGCCTGATGTCTCATCTGAATCCTGAACCTTGAACCGAGAACCCGCTTCCCTTGGTGTTCCCTCTATATGGCAGGCGACGCGATGTCTCATCTGAATCCTGAACCCTGAACCGAGAACCCGCTTCCTTTGATGTTCCCTCTATATGGCAGCCGACGCGATGCCTCATCTGAATCCTGAACCCTGAACCGAGAACCCGCTTCCCTTGGTGTTCCCTCTATATGGCAGGCGACGCGATGCCCCATCTGAATCCTGAACCCTGAACCGAGAACCCGCTTCCCTTGGTGTTCCCTCTATATGGCAGCCGACGCGATGTCTCATCTGAATCCTGAACCCTGAACCGAGAGCCCGCTTCCCTTGATGTTCCCCCTATATGGCAGCCGACGCGATGTCTCATCTGAATCCTGAACCCTGAACCGAGAGCCCGCTTCCCTTGATGTTCAAGCTATATGGCAGCCGACGCGATGTCTCATCTGAATCCTGAACCTTGAACCGAGAACCCGCCTCCCTTGCTGTTCCCTCTATATGGCAGCCGACGCGAGGTCTCATCTGAATCCTGAACCCTGAACCGAGAGCCCGCCTCTCTTGATGTTCCCTCCATATAGCAGGCGGCGCGGGGTCCGCCTGTTCCTGGCAAGAACGCAAACCCCCAAAGCATGCACCTCCGTGACGGCATTGCAATCGTCAGGCATCGCACTGAAGTAGTGAAATTGGTTCAGCGGTCTGCTAGGCGTTCGCCTTGTCCTTCTGCGCCACCTCCGTCGAAGGTTCGGACCTCGCTCACTAGATTACTAACCTAGCCGGAGGCCCTCCCGTAGTAGTATACTCCTTCTGCTGCGCACTTGCAGCCATGTAGCGTAGCTTAATGGTCCGCATCTTGCGCTAGCGCTTTGAGGTCTCAGGTTCCATATCTTAACTACGAAGTAGCTCAGCTGGTAGCGCGCTTGTCTCCGTTCTCCAGGACTCAGGTTCGAACCCCAGCTGTGTCAATTCTTGTTCTAGTAAGTTTGTCGGTGGCAGCGACGGCACCGATCTGAGGGCATTTCTTGTCTTGGCTTTGCTTTAGACTCTCTCTGCTGTCTGTACTCCTCTGCTTCGCTGTATCAGCCAACCAGAGTAGGAAACCAGGCAGCAGCTCAAAGAAGTAGGCCAATTGGTAGAAGCCTTGGCTTTGCTTTTGACCACCAACGTTCGAAAACTAGCGACAGCGTTTTCCTGTGAAGACTGAGGCCCGAGACGTTTAGACGAAGTAGGTCACGCCATCACTCGCGTAAACAATGCGGCTACCTGCTTGTTTGCCAATGAGACGCAACGCCCGCCGTATATGCGCTTTTTCTGCAACCTACCACCAGGATGCTGCGTATTGGTTCCTCGATCTGGCATCGATGGAAGATTATGGCTCGCTGTCGTGTGTTTTCTCTTCATTCGTCTGAGGTGGGTGGGTGTGGTGTTTCGCGTTTCTTTCTTTAGATCTTGGCGACGCGTCTCGTCGGCTCTCGTCCACACTAACCCCCTGAACCACCTAAGAGCGGCCTCGTAGGTTTCTATTGATAAGTCGGGAGCCAGTGCGTCGAGAATATGTGGAAACATGTGGAGGAGTGGCATCTTGATCCGGTGAAGCGTCTCCCTCCAAATCTCCAAGGTGCGGAGGCGTTGCGAGCGAAGCGCGACGGCTTCTACGCTGCTCTCTTTTATGGGGCCACCTAGCTAGGTAGCTGCAGGCGCAAGCGGTGACCTTTCTCAAGTGGGCAAGGAAGTACCTCAGGGGCATCGTTGTGCTTGTTCTATGTTGGTAACCCTCGCAAGGGGTGCGGGTGTCTTAGTCTTTTCTCTTTGTTTGTTGCTTAGTTGGCTGGCTTGCCTCGCTTGTCTCACTCTTTGACGCTTGTCAAAAAGCAAAGGCGTAGGCGGTGGCTCTTCGTTGTAGTTTTTCTTTCATTTCTGCCTGTGGCGCAACCGGGACAACATCGAGACAAAGGCGAAGATGATACTTGGGCTCATGTTATGGCGTGGCGTGTCCTTATGGGTTTGAGTGTTGTCGCCTTCTTCTCTCTCTTGTTTCCTCGCAGATTTTTCTAATTTTTCACGACAATGACACGGAGGCG